TCTCTCTCTCTCTCTCTCTCTCTCTCTCTCTCTCTCTCTCTCTCTCTATCTCCAGCACATTCTCTCCGACGCATCGTTTACACAAGAGAACATTCGATAAGTGGTTGCATCGTGTATATGAATTAATATATCTTAAATGAAACCATTGTTTTTGCGGATCATGCTTACGATTTCATCATGATTCGTTGATTTCGAGTAATAGCTGGCATACATGCAGAGAATATGTTTGGCCTCATATGAAATGTGTTTGTGCATGAATTAGACGTACACACATTCAAACTCATGTAAATGATTAATCACAAGTGATTTCTAGAATTGCTGTCGTCCCGATATAGGTTCACTTTCAATCAGCAGCTGATCCATAAATGGTTGTCCATTATTCAGTTAACTTTCGATAGCTTAATGAACATCAAACCGAAACAATGTCTCAAATGTTTTTCGTTCGTTGTTAAGTGACATTGAAACATTAAATTGTTCAATAAAACCAAAAAAAAAAGAAGAACGAAGTGAACAAAAAAACAAAAGCAAACTATGAAAACCTACTGTGCAAAATACTGCGCACCATTATTTAGTTGCTTCTGTCATTTACAATTGATTTGTATTCATATACACCACAAAATAAAAGACAACAGGCGTTCAATTGGAATGGGATCGCAATGTATTGCATGTAGCTCGATTGTATGTGGTTTCGTATGCCAAATGTGGTTATAGCGACCGAACATGACACATTCCAAATTTAATTAATTCTAATGTACGAACGCGATATACAAAATTACGTAGTGCGTGCTAGAAATATGTGGAGCATCATTTCAATGAAAATTGAAATTCGTATATTACTCCCTCTCTTTCCAGTCCATCCCCCTGCATCAGCTTTGGCTCTTTCGAGCATATCGCTTTGCATTCAATTGGATGGGTTGGCCATTTCCATAACAGTATTGCAAACTGAAAACCATTCCATCGATGTTAATAATCTAATTGAAAGTGAAAAATTTGTGATTTATGAATGAGCCACTAACAATACGAGTTAGTTAGGATAATAAATTTATTTGAAGATGCAAACGGAAGAGATGAAGGCCGCCATTTATCACCACACAGATTATTTATTATATATTTTGGGTACGACAAAAAAATGAATAATACTTTAGCTAAATGGTTGATGGTTTTCAGATGACTTGAAGCTTTTCTGTTTTATGTTTATTGTTTATCATCACTTGGTTACACATGATTTGTGCCCGTGGTTTTTTTTCGTATCCAGATTCTTAGGAAATCCAAACGAAATTTATTATTTTAAAATTAAATCATTAATCAATTGTTATTGATGCAATGTCCATGAAATGCCAATATTGGACAATGCCATTTGCGTTCACGTGCGTGTGAATCGAACAGATACGATAAACGAACAAACAATCATGGTGACACATTTTAAAACCACCGAACACAAACCAAAAGGAATCAACGTCGGATTCTCGACGGCATTCGGATTGGTCAGTCAGCATCATCATATGGTTACATTTTAAACACACACAAAATATTCAACAAATGCATTCATAAAGCATGCATGTACTTTAATACACATTAAATGCACCGCACCGAATCTAGGGAGCAATAAATACCGAAATAATTTTTTTGAACGAGTTTGCAGTGTGTGCGGCGAATAAATTTATTTATGATAGAATTATCCACGAAAATAATCATTTGTATATTGGCTTGTTTGTAGTAGTAAACTAAAGTCGTTATTGCTGCTCCCGCTGTTTGGTATAGTTCTATTCTTAGTGTATTTTCATACATCCAATGTTCGAATACATGTGCATTTTGTTATTGGTCAATCGGGGCAATTTTGCATTCGTTTGCTTTTGCATAACACTATAAAACAACCGTATATTTTCGAGGCTTTTCGTAGGCATTTTAATGATTTCAGCACGTTTTATATGTACCGATATGTACGATGTGTGCCGGCATACATTGTTATGAAAATTACATACAAACAACATAACAGCAACAACAACGCGACTCATTTTAACATTTATTCGCGAAAATTTTCGAAGCGCAACGTGTGAAACGAGCGAGACTCATCATGAATTTATGATTACTCTTAGTACAAACTGGACGGCTGGATGTTCAAAAATTATCATCGTTTTGTTGATGTTGTTGCTGTTTTCCCTGGAAATTAA